CCAAAAATATTTTATCATTAAAAACTAACCTATTTTTGTACGAGCTGAGGAATAATGATATCACTAATCTTACCTGTTACCCAAGATGTTTTAAATAATTGCAGATCTTATTGTTATAAACGTTAATTACGTGCTGCACATCATGTTTTATTTATATAACAATTGCAGGTTATATTGTTACAAACGCTAAGTACTGCTGGGTTTAGAAGTTAAGTTATTCAGCGCTTTGAAGTTTAAAACTTCTAATAAATAACACAGTGATGCAAAAAAATTAAATATCTCATCTCCTTATTTAAATGTTTTTAACAAGGAAACAATTCATAAGTCAACTGACCTTGAAGCATAGTTTTCTCAATATCCCTCCAAAAAAAAGAAGAAAGGTCTTACAACATTATTTCTTTAATATTTACACAGAAAGCGCAGGGGCAAGAATAACGGAAATATGCTTTTAAGTTACTCTTTTCTAGAGTTCACTATAGTTCTTAAGCGTTCACGTATCCGTATTCGTGTAAAATCATGCTAAGTAAGGAGTTCATTAAAGTGCTAAAAGAAACGCATTTCAAAGTTTGTATAATCTTGAAGTTTGAGAATGGTTTATCAATATTTCCTGTCACACAGATGACTAATTCGATTAATAAAGATAGAGCAGCTAGTAATATTCATTCTTCAAGGCTTACTTGACAAGGTGATAGCAGATCCATTTCAGTAGTCCACTTCTATGAAATAAATTTGGTTGAGGATAAATATAAAGTGAAGGTTAAAACGTATATTTTCGTAACAAATCAGGATTTTGTTTTACATGTGGAAAAATGTAGAAGTCTTTCTCTGATGATCTAACGATAAAGTTAGTTAAAAGTCCTTGGAAAAACAATTTTTTATTGACTGACTATCCATGTTCATTTAATCATCAGCTGAGTTCTTTTCTCTCTCTCTCTTTTTTACGTGTCAGATGCTACACGATTTTTACCTCAGATTGGGAAGGATTAAGCAACATAGCTCGTTGAGTGACCTATTGAGAACCAGAATTTTGACCAGTGACAGATGACGTCAACGCAGTTCGACGCATCATAGAGAAATGTTGTTTGTCATGTGTAATGAAGTGTTTTTATTAGCAAAAATCGTGTAAATCGTCCACCTAAAAAAATTGGATATAAAGTTAGACAAGTCAATTCATACTCGATCCTGGATCAGCCACAAGCAAAGGCCATTAATCAAAAACCCTAATAAATGCCAACAATCTACAGATAAGTTTTAATCGTATAATGTAAGATTCTTAAGAGAAGGTTCATGTATGACAATTGTCTAATCTAATAATTTAGCTTGTATTATAACAGAAGCTGCAAACGTTTGCTTAATAGTGCTTATCAAAATTACTTTGGAAAATAATAGCTAATCATTACAACAGTTTAACTTGTAGCAGCTCCTTAATTTACATGTGTATATACGTCACGGTAAACGTGCATAAACGAAGAATTTGCATAATAACCAATGCTATTGGAGAATGTACATAATTTAAGAAATAATTGTCCGGTTAACCTGCATAATTATCACCGTTTAATACGCATGATGGCCAGTAAATATGCACATTTACCGTAATGTATATCATATATATAAAAGTTAATTTTCGTAATAATTTCCAATATAAGAAAAATGTTTTTTTTGTTTGAAAGACGGCACAGTTTTTGGTTCGGGGCGTTATAATGTGACGGTCAATCCCACTATTCGTTTGTAAAAGAGTAGTCCAAGAGTTGGTGGTGAGCGGTGATGACTAGCTGCCTTCCCTCTAGTCTTACACTGCTAAATTAGGGACGGCTTGTGCAGATAGTTCTCGTGTAGCTTTGCGCGAAATTCATAACAAACAAACAAACTTCTTTCTGCTGTTGAATTAGTTCTCTTTAATAAGGCTGAAAAGGCGAGCATGTTTGGTGTGACGGGGATTCGAACCCGCAGACTGCGAGTCGAGTGCCCTAACCATGTGGCATATTTTGTCCTGGGCCTTCAATTAAAAAAAAGCCTCCAAAATACAAATTAATGTTTTAAAAAAGAACTGCAAATAGAGAGAAGAGGGTGAGAAATAAATTTGATGAAAATCAAAGAATATGGATCATATAAGATAATGCCCTTAAAATATGAATTTTTGTTTTTTAATTGTCTCGACAACTGGCATTCGATCAAGTGGACAGCCCCCCGGTGGCACAGCAGAATGTCTGCGGACTTACAACGCTAGAATCCGGGTTTCGATACCCGTGGTGGACAGAGCACAGATAGCCCATTGTGTAGTTTATATATATATAAACTACAATTTAAGGTTTATCTTCAAGATGGATATATATAATAAAACTCCAATCCCTTCATTTTCCAACATGTTCTTTATTATACTGTTTTCTTAGCATCACAGGCTAACCTTCAGTATAAACATTTACCTTGAATAACCTTCATACATACATACATATATATATATATATATATGGCTTCTTAACCCGACATAAATGTGAGATTCTGGAAGGAACCTCCAGATTTTAAGCTTGCCCTGAGCATCCTCTAACCTCTGGGTAGCCCTGACAACATGATAAACAAGTAATACAGTGAAAATACTATAAAATGCCTTGTTACAAAACCTGTTCATATAAATGTACTTCATGTAGATTGGCATATTTCGTGATAACTTTCGAAGGTGACTTGTAATTTCCTTTTTAAATGTTAAATTTGAGCCTATGCATACGGTGGTTACTGCATGAATTACACTTATTCATATTTTGTAAATCATAATAAAGAGACAAACGGCGTGGCCTAACTATTGGCCCTAAATCAGATATAAGGAAAAGTTAAAAAACATTCTATCACATAAAAAAATAAAAATTGGTTAACAATTAAATCTTCATTACGTGATCGATTACGATTAACAACACATTTTTTCAGGTGTTAAAATAATAAATCGTTGATTATTCTTATAACATTCTATGAACTGTCACAACCGCCGACGATAGAAGTAAATTTTCGTGTGTTCTCTAAACTAAAAAACAAAACAAAAACTAAAACTTTTAGTTTTACAACAAGAACAGTGAATTGGACCTTTATATACCGCTTAATTTTCAACAATTTTTAGTAGAGTTAAAATCGAAACTCGTGATGTCTAAGTTGTTTAAAATACAAAGTTCCATCAAGTGTAAGATCGGTAAAAGTAGCGTTGAAACAAACAAGATAAACAGAAATTCTTAAAAATAAAATTCACATCACTTAAGGGTATATATTATGCATATAAGCTGAAAAAATTTTTTATTCAATACTCTATCACAATAAAAAAAAACGATCAGTTTATACTACACTCTTATGAAAGAACATCGTTTTGTAATGTTTTATTTCAAAATCCAGGCTGAAATTTATATTGTACTGTTGTACCGAAAATGCTTTTTGAGACGTAACCCATGACATATAGCAACCACAGAAATTAAAAACATACAAGAAGTAATGTAATTGGCTGTAGCAAAGTAAATAAAAACTGAAATAAAAAAATGAAATATCATATTTAATTTGAACTAAACGATAAAAATAAAGTAAACAATTAAAAAATATTTATCTGAGTCTCAAACATAGAGCAGAAATTCTCAGAAAAGCGTAGATTTAGTCTTTGCTCTGCTTTTGAGACGCATACTACCTTAGTAAGTTGTAACAAACAAAAGAACTCCATTCAATGCTCCAAAGAACGTCAGCTGTATTGTACAAGTAGAGCCAGGTGGAAAGCAGGCAGGCAGTAATAATAGAACAACACTTTCCGTTAGCCCTTAGGTCAAAGTAAATCCTAGGTTATAGTGAACTTTGGATTATGGAAAACTCTTCGAAATAACAAATTCTTTAAAATCACGAGTGAATTCTAAGTCATACTGAACCGTGGTAACTGTAAATCGTAGGTTAAGACAAGCCTTTATTACTATTAGTGAATTTCAGGTTTGGGTAAACATTATGCTACAGTAAATCGTAAGTTATAATAAACTTAGCCATACTGAATCATAAGTTACAGAAAATTTCAGACCACAATAAATCCTAAGTTGATTCTAAGCTTAGGTATGTCAGAAGTCATCGTAAATCTTACGTCACCTTAAATCCTGGGTCACAATAAGCTCTAGACTCATCCACCTAGCGACTGTCTTTTGATTTAAAAAATATTAAGAAATGAAAAATGTACGTTTTCTCTAACTCTATTGAATTTTGGAAGTATGATTTGTGATTGAAGAAAATCTATAATACTTACGAATAATGGAAGTAAATATAGGATGTATTTTATTGAAACATTTAAATCTATTATATATGCATCCAGATATAGACAAAAGAATTAAAAGTTGAGTGTCGAATGATTCTGTGATTACTGTCTATTGTTGAGTAACATACGTAAGTTTTTCACACATTTACAGAAGAATTATATAAGCTCTGCCTATTCGATACCTGTTTCAGCTCACATCATTTTCTATTAACTATTCTGAAGAATAGTATATTCAATCAAACGATAGGTGAACCTCTAAAGCATTGAATAATTGGTGTTCATTCTCATAAAAATTCCATTTAAAACTCGATCAGATTTTTAATAAATATTTGAAATCACTAATACATATGTGAACTTAATAATGCGTGTAGCGCCATCTTTCTTATTTTATCTTAATAAACCAATATGAAGATTTTTAGCTTGCTTGATTTTAAAAGTGTACATATATATATTAATCTCATTGTGTTGTGATGTTAGTGGTGTTCTGTGCCAGCAAAAATGATTTTTTTTTATATAACCATTCCTTGCCAATATTTAAGTTTCAAAAGTAATAATAATAATGTCGCAAAACAAGTAACTTTTAAATTGATAAACTTACTACCGACTTGATAAAGCATCAAAAGAATAAAAGAAGGCTTGCGTCAGCGACGTGTCTAGTAATACTGTACATTGGAGACAACATACCAACAAACAGATATGAATCCAAAGTATGAAAACTATAAAACTGGAAATTGAGACCCACCTTCTGGGCCTTGCACATTCCTCCCAAAGCCTGGACATCATGGTTAGCGTGTTTGCCCTCTGATACACATAAACTGCACACTGCAACCTTACACAGCATACAGTACATTCCTAGAATTCCTGCAGGGTGATCTCCACAATTAACCTTCTTGTCTTTACTCTTTGACCTAAGGGTGGCCTTACCTCGTTGTGGACTGACCAGTGAATGGGCAGCTAGCGGCCCCCGGGTAGGGTGACAGTTTTCCCTACAGATGTCACAGTAGAAAACTTCACACTGTTCACACATGATCGTAGCCTCCATGGGTTCATTCTCACATAATTGACAGTGAATGGGTAAGTGTTTGTTATCTCCATACTTGTCCACAATATTCTGTAAAATCTTGTTCTTTGGCAGGTTGTTGGTTCCATGCTCGTCGAAATAGACCACCTTGTGGCACGTGGGACACGTCAAAGATATGGTACTGTTCTGGATGGGAGGAAACAAAAGATTCGGAGTACCTACATAACTGTTCGGCCGGCTGTTACACACGACTCCACTATCGGTTTCGCTGACCAAACTTAATTTGTCCCCGTCCGGATAGTCTGCTGTAGTCTCGTTGTCGTCCGGTGGTGGTTGAAGGTGCTGAGCCGGCTGTTCCCTATGAAGAGCACAGCTGAGACACAAGGAGTGATAGCACGGCAAGAGAACGGGGTTCTTGTAAAGGTGTTTACACGCAGGGCACTTCAGTTCTTCTTCCATAGCTCGAGTCTTGAGTCTGCACGTGGGGAGCGCTATACACGAAACCTCTGCATCCTCACGTTTGTACGAACTACTGAGCTACGCAAGCCGGCCCTCAGCGTCTAGTGGCGCCTGCGCGCTGAATGGCATCCGCTGGCCAGTTACAGTGTTCGAACATGCGTACGTTTTAATTCGCACAAATGTTTGATTTTCAGAGGTATTTCGAGTGTGCTATATACTCTGCTTTGTAATTTTAAGCGACATTGCTCACTCTATTCAACATGTTATAAAGCCATTCTTTTTACTTGAATGAATTTGACCGTATAACCTTAGCCTCCAGTAAATAAAAGTATGACTTGAATGGGTAAAGAAGAAATCTTTATTATAAATGTACAACGTTTCGACAAGATCATGTCATCATCAGGCACATTTATGATAAAGTTTTCTTCATTACCAATTCAGGCCGCCTCCAAACTTTTATTTGCTAAAAGCTAGGTTTCTTATAATCAAACTTAGCATCTAGTTCTAGTTATTCTATGTATATAGCCATGGTTCTAACCAATAAATTGATAAATGACCTTCTTTTCAAAGCAAATTGTTTCGAAATTTTAAATTATTACCATATAACTGTAATGGTCGATATAAGGACGAAAATAACTTTGATTTTAAAATACTCAAACTAAAGTCTTTTAAGTAATTAAGTTCACACACACACACAAATATATATATATATAACCTTTACCCTGTAGGTACCAAGCAAGACATAAATTATGTCTATAAGTTTGAATCTTAAAGAGAGATAGATACTGAATAATCAAAGAAAATAGAAGATGCACATAGAAACTGACACACAAAAATAACAACATGATTTTAGGTTAATTTCTAATGTAGATAACTTTTTCTTTCTCTAATTAAAAACCCAAATAAGTAAGTAAAAAGAATTTTGATGTAACAAGAAATCAAAATGTCACATTCTAAGAATTAAAGTTCATTTTGAGACTTTAAAAGACATTTATTTGTTTCTAAACGACTATCTTCACTTACGTTTGACCAATGATTCTTTAATTTTTATAGTGAAAGGATAAATATAACGTCGCAGTTTTACTCTCATTGATTGGTATTATAAAAAAGCTTTTTTAATGTCCAGAATAGGTTCGATAGTAATATATATATTATCTTTACGAATTATAAACATTATGATTATGTAAAATTGCAACAATTTGCTTCGAGTGACACTTTACTAGAATTATCTTTCCATACACATTGATAGACCATTCCACCTATTTGTTTGTGCAAAATGGACTGATAATGAACGTGTCAATACTTGATTGAGCCAGGGGCTGCGTTAGAGGGGTGCTAGGAATGCAATTGAATTGGATCCATTCTGCCAAAAGGTTTCCATCACACACAAAAATAAATACAATTACAAGCCTTAATATGGGCCCCCGGAACAGGACTTATGTGAGCTGAAATGTTGTCATAACATGGCTAGCCTTAAAGACAATGGGTTAGAGCATGTATCTCTCTAGCGTTAAAAAAAACATGACAATGGGGAGCCTATCTATTAGGAGAGTTGTTATCAAATACCGTTTCTTTGGGTGGGTGTTAAAATACATCTGTCATCTGAATCTATCCACAACCACAATCGAAAGGCAATATGTCCACCAATAGGAAAAATTATGACTATCAATCACTGGTGGTTGGCCGAAGGATAATACAACTGGGCAGATTTTTGCAGGTGCAACATGCAGTGAAACGTCTCAAGTAACCAATCATTTTCAAAAGTACAGTACTAAAGCAATTACAAAATTTTATATGGCAACCTAAAAACATTTATCTCATATACAAACAAGTATATACGTCTTCACTGATGCTTAATGGTAAACATGGTCTAAGTGGAAGCGACTTGCATTTCATCTTTTGTATGCTGCTATACAAACATGGAGAGAACCAAATGAGGCACTCAACCTCGACTGTATTTTTACGTCAGTGCAAGTCACTGGAAGTGGACTAATGGTGTAGGGAATATTTTTTCTCTGGGGTGTTTTTTTATTCCTTTAGAATAACAGGCAAGGTGTCACTTAACTCTGCTATCGATCATGTCCACCCACAAAGATGGACAAAGACGATAATACAAAAATCTATCGCTTTGTTATTGTCAGAAATCAATTCCGAGAGCATAACAGCAACTTTAGCCATCTTCCTTGGCCAGCCAATCACTGGATTGTAATTCTTTACAAATATATGTGAACTAATTGCAAATCTAGAACGCATGGGTTATAATTGAATGAAACACCTTCGGCATTTTCTGGAGTCTGTGCTATGTAGTTTCTAATCTGTTATCGCTGCGGAAGATGGCTCAATCCGATTTTATGTCGAGGTCCTATTAAAATCACCATTCAATTTATAAATATTTTCTCGAAACCAAGTAATATATGGGGGGATTAAGATATCTAGCAAATATGCAATAAAAAGTTTGTTCTTGGTTGACGTTCACTAATAACTAATTGTGAGCTTCTTTATGAAACTTCAACTTTGTATTATAAGTCGCCAACATATTTTAAATAAACTTATACAAAGACAGTTAATTCTGCGTTTTATAACAGGATTAAATTATCGATACCAAACATTATTCTAGACTTGAAGTTTTTATCGACTGCATCTGCCTGGATTTAAGAGGGAAGACGTTTTTGGCCTCCGTGCTGAGACTTTCCTAAAACAACTTAATGAAGGCCTCAACTCAGAGACTGTTCTATTTACTCTGTTTATAACTTATGTGAAGTAAGCTTGTTGGTTACATTTGTATGACTAGATAAAATAATGTACGAAAGAAAACAAGCCTATCAAGACTCAGAGTAGTTGTGTGCAATACTTAATTGTACGTTTCGCACCTTAATTCTATGCATTACACAAATATATATGTAGGCAAAAACTGAGGTCAGGCTTAGCATAGCATAAAAAGTAATTCCATGTAAGCAATCTCAATTTATAGTATTACCACCACATGTTTGTTATTGTTCCTTATACTGGTTGTGAATTTTCATATTAAGCTTAGGGGTTTTAATTCAGTGAAAACAAATTCTACAACAGGAAATACTGTTTAAACATACATTCTTTTTTATGTTTTTCTTCCTGAAACCTCAAAAATAGGAGAAAACCATCTCAAAAAATTGTATAATAGTCGGTTCGCGACGCTGTGTACGAAAGAAGAGGCTTAACACTGATACAATAACTATACCATAAGATACCAGTCTCTACGTAGAGCTTATCAGGCTACTGTAAAAAGAAAAGTTAGTGTGCACAAAGATGCTGTGACCGCAAATGGCCGAGAGTTGTTGAATATTTCATGAAAGCTTTCAATGTGAAGAAGTTCAGGCCTTTTCAAGGCTTCGAGCAAATAGTCTGTTTAACTAGCCAACTGCAGTCAGTGAAATATATATATATAAATAACTGTGATGTCTAGACTCGTGATTTGAAAAGAGTTCAGATTGCGAGGACAACGAGGGCACTTTGATCTAGAGAGCGGCTCTTGACTTTTCCTCTGTTTTGTGTATGTACTACATAGCACGATTTCATTGCATATTTTCTCAGGTTCCAGTACTGCTTCAATTTTCCTGTCGTTAGTCGTCCAGTTTTACTTACAACACCTTGACCCTTATTTTCTATATTATATTCTATTTATTTCAGTTTAGCTTTGTTTTCTTTAGTTGATAAAAATTTGCTTTACTCATCCTTCGTTGCTATTTAATCCTGCTTTTTTGTTTTTGTTTGAAAATAAGCTAAATGCTTTCTTTTTTGTTGGAAAATCGTCTTATCTCTCTTTTTTGTTGTTTACTATAATCCTTCACATCAACGTTCGATGGCCGAATCATCAAATCTTCAGTAATGTGGACCTACTGAACTTTGATATCCCCAAGTCGGGAATATCATACATTCACGACAGTGAACGATTAGCAAGCCAGAAATAGGATTCTTAGTAGGCTATTATAACACACTAAACAGAATTTATTAAAACATTAAACTTAAGCAAAAACTGTGGTAAAAACTTGTAATTTTTGTAATATTTACACATCGTTTTAAATTAAACCCTTCTGCTGGAGAGGTGAGATTATAGGGGGAGCAATTGCTCCCACTTTTTTGTGTGGGGTATATTATGCACATGACATTCCCAATAATTAAGTCAGACCTTTTTTGTCCCCCCTCCCCCACCACACACATTGTGGTCCCAAATGTTGCCCATGTATATATATATATATATATATAAGAATACTCGAATCCTTTCTTTTTTACCAAACTGTTCGCCTAGGTTAAATTTAAAAAAAGCGATAAAATGGTCTATAAAGTTTTTTTTTTCAAATATTAGTCTTCTTTCTTTTAACTTGAAATTCCAATGTTCTAGATAAGAAGTTAAGGAATGTTTTCGAAAATCGCAAAATAACTTGGGCTAAATAGCAGACTCCATATTTATATAGATTTTGAACTTTTAAAAATTCTAAAGTAAAAAATGAACCGAATATTGTACCATGTAATCGAAAAAAATGTTTAATAGATTCAAATAAATTCATATCTTTGAATTAGGAAATTTAATTGTTGGACCTAAAGGACGGGAATTATTTGAGGTGAAAAATATTTTTTATTGTAATGCTAAAAATTTAATTTATGTTTTAAAATATTTTATTTATGGAGAGTTGTGTGTTCAAAAACTAACAATTTGAAAGTAAAGGTTAATTTGAATAACTAGGAATCCGGAAAATTGTTTCTTCCCGGTAAGTAAACATTTTTATTTCTGTAATTCAATTTTTTAACGGATTGAGTGAACATTTTTTTATCAAACTTTTTCCGTTCTAAAATTTAATGGAAAAGAAAGAAGATTAATATTTGAAAAATTCTTTATTAACCGTTTTAACGTTTCTTTAAATTTTAATTGAAAGCCGTTAGGAGGCGAAATATTTAATGATTAGGAATCCAGAGGTTTTGGTGTGTAGTACCTTAAGTATACTGTGGATAACTCCAATTCAAAATTCAGTAATAACTAAAACTTATAGAGTATCAAGATATACAAATAT